TTATGAGTAGAGCACCCTAGCCACCAAGCCTCTAAACCTTAGGTACTGACGAAATACCAACTAGTTATGTTGTAAATGGTAGATTTTAGAAAATATATTCTTTTAAAATTCAAAACTCTCCTACAGGGATTCCGATGCATTTCTTACATTTGGAAATTTCAATCTTTATGTATATTTCGAAAAATCTACAAGAACATCGTTATATTTGGCGCATTTGAAAACAAAATCTCCAAGTACCTGCCAAAATGCATGCTAAAATTCCTTTTATATGGCACATTTTAAGAACAGCATTCCTCAGACTTCATCCAAAACACCTAAAATAATTATTTTTACTTGTCTAGCGTTTGTTCCAATTCTGACAAGTTTGTTGGGGATCATTGATGAACTGCATTCTTCAAGTCTCGTTATGAATTTTCTCTTGGATTCGAGTTAGGACTTTGGCTGAGCCACTTTCTTCTTTTGAAAACACTCCAGTGTAGCTGTGGCCGTGTGGTTCGGGGTAATGTCCTGCTGAAATGTAAATTTTCGACGCAGTTTTAGATTCATGGCTGACTCAAGTGGGTTTTCCTCTGGGATTCGCCTGTATACTTTGCACCAACCATCTTCCCCTCAATCCTGACAAGCTCCCAAGTCCTTGTTGATGAGAAGCATCCCCATAATATGATGCTGCCAGCACCATGCTTGACATTTGGGTTGGTGTTGACTTGGTGATGTACTGCGTTGGGCTTGCGCCAGAAGTAATAATTTGAATTTAGACCATAAAAGCTTACTCTGTATCTCGTCTGACCACAAACCTTATACCACATGTCTGCAGTAACACTTACATGCTTTGTTGCAAACTCCATACGAGATTTAAGATGATTATTTTTTAGTGATGGTTTCTTGCCACTCACCAATACAGGCCAATTCTGTGTAAGGACCTGGATATTGTCCATGTATGGACATTGACTTCTATCTCAAGCATGAAACTTTGCAAATCTTTCAAAGTCATTGTTGGCTTCACAGTAGCATCTCTAACCACTTTCCTGATTGCCCAGCTATTTAGTTTGGAAGAGTGGTCTGATCTGGGTAGTGACTGAGTGGTATGAAGCACATTCCATTTCTTAATGATGGACTTCAACGTACTCAAAGGAATAATTAGCGACTTTGAAATTTTCTTCTAACCTTTTCCTGATCTATGTTTCTCTACCACTTTATTCCTGACTTGTTTGGAAAGCTCCTTGATCTTCATGGTTGGTTTGTCGTATCATCATGAGAGTTGTGACTTCAACAGATACATTTACTCTGAAGTCAAGTTAAACCACTTTGATTACACACAAACAAAGACCATTACACTAATTTTGTGACCTTTCAAACTAATATTTTGCACCTGAACTGATTTGGTGTTGCCATTGCATAAACGTTGAATACTTATGCAATTGAAAATTTTCTAATTTTCTTTAAAAATCTAACTTATTTATCATCAGCGTTTTTAGCTTTCTTAGTTTGAAGTAGATTGTACAGATTCTAAATATAAAGTCATACTTGAAAGTTTTATGATTGCAACCTCAGCCAGCAACAAAATGTGGAAACTCTGCAACAGGGTGAATACTTTTGCAAGGCACTGTATTTAGTCAACAAGTACATATATAGTCATGCTCTCTGAGAAAGAGAAATATCGTTCGTGACTGTGACGCTCAAGACTTCTTGACATCAGTGAATTAAATGCTTGTTATGTCATACAAAATAATGAAATTTTAAATACATTTTAGATTACATTACATGTGTTCTTTAAATAACTATTGCGATGGTTTCTGTTGGTCAAGTTTTTTTTAATTATTCAATAGAAATAGTAAATAAAGTGCAGTCCTTTTAATGATATCAAAAACGTTTTATTTTCTCAACTTCAGATACCACGGTTAGTGTAACTAACATGATGGGTTCTAGGAGTATATTTTACTGAACACGGCATTGGATTTTGTGTTTCTTACCCGCTCGGGATTCCGAGAGGGAGATACTTGAAACTGGGCTCATGCTCCAACTTATCACTCACCATCTTGGGAACCAAACGTGGCATATGTGCTCACGTACCACAGGAGGTTGTCATGATATTTTTGTTATTGGGTAGGGGTCCTTTGAAGAAGCTATATTAGTAATTGGATATAATGTAGGAGCTTGATTGGTACCTTTCGACCTCTGTGAATCATGAAGGGTCCTTTGAAGCCTGCAGCGGAACACTGGTCTTTTATGTTAGTAACTCTAAGTACTATAATCATTGAAAAATTATTAAAGTATGAAAACATAATCAAAAATTTAACTAACCAAAAAAACCACTCATTTATTTTTAAATTGATCAGTTAACAAACTCTATTTGTAGTTTTCCTCCCCATAGAACGAGGGTGAGCTGACCTCTTATACTTTATCACTTTATCGTCACTTGATATCATGTCACTGGGGGAGATATCTTCAGATAAATGGTCTACGAAATCCGCTAGTGATACAGTAGGTAGACTCACCTCTGGCAAAGTCTTCTATGAAGTTAAGCAGTTGCCCGTTTTCCTGCCAACGTACTTTGGACTGTATGTCTTTTTGGGTTCTGCTATGTTGCACTTCAAATTGGCTGACTTTAATATTTTGTACTCCAGTCCTTCTTGTTACTGGAAATTCAACTTCTGATGAAGTAAACATTGTGTAGTATCCAGACATTTCCTGAGTATAGACTGTGAAATTACTTGAAAAAATCTAGCCTCACATTTATGTTTATGCATGACGTTTATTCCATATCTGGGTATCATTCTTCTATGTCAGTTATTCATGTCATATTGTCTTTAAAACTCCCCATAGTGAAGGTGACTACCAACTTTCCTGTTGTTGGAACTTTAGGACCACTTGCTGTTCGCATCAATTTTTCTTTATGGTTCATCTTTTGAAGCAATGTCGTGTGCCATAGATCTGGAGACACATTTCAAGTTTTTATTACCAAATCAGGTGGAAAAATTGCAGCTGTAGATTTTAGAATCACTATCAATCAGCATACTACAAGAATTTCCTTCAATTTATTCATTGACTCGTGGGATGGCTTATTCAAATAATACATTCACTCCCTATGTAATTTGGAGTATTCTCATCCTCAAGATATCGTCTTCTTCGTATATTTCAATGGCTAATTCATCAATCTCTGATGTAGTGGTAAAATATTTTCAGTTTTACCTTTTCCTCTACGGCTTTAATTGATTTTAGTTTCATTGCCAATTGAACAATTTTTTTAAAGATCTACACTTACTTTGCTTAAATCTAATTTGCATACCCTCATCCACTTAATCATCTGTGTCATGTGCCATCACATCCATCATTTCATGTAGAGATAATTAGGCAAATTTTTTCACATTTTTAGTAAAGTGAACAAACGTTTTGTCCTTCCTCCTTACTTCAATCTGATGTGAGATACCAAATCTGTGTAATAAGAGGGGTACAAAAACTCTTATGGTTCTAAGGTGGAAGGCTCATAATGTTTGTAATGCTAGTCTTTTAAATGTACAGCAAGATGTAGAGCTTGTTTTTCATTACTGTATCATTTCACTTTGAAATTTTCAAACAGTGCTTGATATGTCTCACATGTTATCTTTCCATCATTGTTTTCGATTTTGATTGGAAAATGGCCTGTTATGCTTCGTAATTTGCTGAAGTAGTGGTGTAGCTGGAGAAATCCAAGATGTTTATGCATTCACAGACAGTATGTCAGTGGTATTAACTGGTGTAGACTAGATAAGTTCCCTATTCCATGTTGCATAAGTAATGGTTTTTAAGGTTGAAATGTTTGAGTGGATGCAGAAAGAGAGAGGGAAAGGTGTGCCTAGTTTAATTTTGCCTTACATTTGCCAAGTCAGTATCTAGATATTTTATAATAGAGTTAATATTCTTTTGTACCATTTCAATGGCTCCAATTTTGGTGTTGTAATCCTTCTGAACTTCAATGATGTCTTTTATGTTTCATTCTTTCATTTGTTAATGACATTTTGTACTTCCCGTTTTACATTGTTGATGTCTTTTTTGTACTTAATGCATTGTGTTTCTATAACATTTCTGTGCATTTTCTATAGTTTTCTCAATGTTCTTCCCACTGCTTCATCTTTCCATTAAATTTTCTTTCTCCTTTTCAGTTCATGCACATGCTATCAACTTGAGTTAAGTCTGGACTTGATATAATTTTGTTATCAAAATAATCCCACTCCTGACGTCAGTGTTGCTTTGATTTCTATTCTTAGTTTTTGTTGTTTTTTCATTACATATATTTATTAAAAGAAATAATGTAAAATCCAGTCAACAAAGACGATTTATTTTTTTCAATTTCAAATTCCATGGTTAGCATAACTAAAGTTCATTGATAATTCTAGCTTCAGAAAATATTTAACAGAAATTTCACTTACTTGCTAATTTCGTTCCTTTGTTTATTCATGAAAACATAAACTCAAAATTCACAGCAATGAACTAACTGATTCACAGACTCATTAACTTAATAACTCACTCTAAACGAGACAACCTTTTATTCTAGACTAACTTGCTCCTCTTTTCTACATATGGTTTAAATTATTTTCTAAGCTTTTGAGAAATTTCCAGAGATTAAAACTACGCCCATCAAGTTGCATTAAACTTCCTACCGGATAAACATCAATATAAATTTCGACAAACAATATGCTACAACAATACTGTGCTACTATGATATTCTGAGTTAAATGATAGCTTCAAAAATGATGTATTGTCATGAGCATCACAGTGTCTGTTATGATATATCTGAGCAGAGTTAAACTTCCAACAGAAAAATACGAGTTTTAAAACTATATCTCTTTATTCAACGCGGAGTGTTCAAAGTAATTAGAGTTCATAGAATATAAATACGTTGATATCAAATGTTTTTAAAAGTTGTCTTATAAAAGTTCATTAGACACAACATTTATTATGAAGACCTCTTTTGCTCCGCTTCAGAAACATAAGTATTATTATAAAGTAAACGGAAAACTTACCTCAAAAAGGAGTTCTGACGTCATAGTGATCCCGCAAACTGCCAAGTCTCCAACAGCTAGGTTAAGAATAAAAATATTTACACGAGATGAACGTTTTCGGTAACGTAGCTTGGATAGTACCAATACAATAACGACGTTGCCAAGTAAGGTGGCTGTCATAATGACCCCTAACGTTACCACTCGCTGAATCAACGTAACATTCCATACAGCGCCCTCTGGATAGATTTCTGTGTCGTTTTGAAAAAGTGATATGTTCCACTGAACAGTATCTGTGAAATTGTGTGTTTCCACGGGTAAAAACGTTACCATGATTAAAAGAAGTAACACTAAATGGCTTGATGACAAACACCCCATGTTTTTAAATTTTCCACAAATTTTAAATGTTAATCTTTTTCTTTATTATCAAAAACGTCCAAAAAGTACATTCTTCCGTGTTTGACAATGTCCAGTATTGAAATACTTGTAGATGATCGTGTACGTGTTGACGCTACTAATTTTTCATGTGCTTTTTTCAAGCAAAAATGACCACTTGGAAACCTGAAAAATAGTTTTTAATTATATTTTAGCTTGTCATTTTAACTAAACATTATTGTAAACACAGTTAATTTATTCTACTTAATATCACTTAGTAATAAATTAAAATCGTTCCAAAAATTATAATAAGAATATAATAAAATCACTGATCGAAAGAAAATGGGAGATGAGATAGCTGTCATGTATGGTTATTGTGACACTTACAACATGGTAATAACTACTATTGACCGACGTTCGAGCCTGTGCCTCAGCTTTCCTCAATACTCTCTTCAGTTTCCGCTCTAATACTCCAATCCAATGAAGACTAAAACTGACGCATTAGAACCAAATAGTTGATTTGTTACATAACCTGCATGGAAAACATAAGCGCGAGTACACACCATCTTTGATCTCGCTCTCATATTCTTCATGTGTTAGAGAATGGGGTTCCCAAATTTTCTTGGTATAAGGCCCCTCTAAAACATTCCACATCCTGATTAAAGCCCGTCCCTCCCTCAATGAACCAACAGATACTGAGTACGTTAACAGTACTGTGTATTTTGTGCAGTTATTACGACTTCCCTCCAACAACTTTCTGCGGCCCCCCGTTTGGGAACCTCTGGGTTAAGACACATTTACTGATATCTGAGGCGCGAGTACAATTTTTTTGATCTCTTCTTTATACTGTTAATTCCTTAGAGCACCTGCATGGAAATCAAATGCCCAAATATAAATTCTGTTTGATCTCGTCTCTATACTTTTGAAAGATCTATACATTCAAGACTTCATAAAATTCGTTGTAAGAAATTATCTTGCTAACAATGATAGCATTTTTCAAAAGATAATTAGATATAAATGTGTGCTCTTTTTCTTATCAAGAAATATTCGAAAATATTTAATCTAAGACAAACTTTTAAATGATATACTTATCGAAATAATTAAAAACAACTACTAGCACTAAGTCCTTGAAAATGGAAGAAGGTGAAATAAATATATAACATCATTGAATAAATTGAAACAACAGGATATAAACTAGAAGACACAAGAAGAAGAGAAAACGTCAAAATAGCTTTTTACATTAAAAAATATATTCAGCTAACCTAGCGTAGAAATCCGCAAAATCTCTATGAAAACCAATGCCATGAGAAGGAACCTAAACCAATGATTGTACACCTGCCATTTTGAACAAGAAAAACCAGGATCGAATCCTGGTTCTACCACCACCTTTAGTTTTCTCAAGACTTCCCTGAATACAGCAACAAATTAATAGCTGAAACGCTTAATTAAAACTAGTTAGTAATTAATATATAGTAATAACAAGAAATTGTAACTTAATAGTTATTACACTGAGACTACTATAATCACGAAAATAATTAAAATCTAAACATCAGAATCTTACTTCGTTTGGAGGGATTGATTCAAGTAACAGTTTTGAGAAGTAGTCTCTAAGTTGCTTTCGTTTGGATCCAAAAGGATCAGTCGATACGCAAGTGGATATTTTGTTTTTGATAATGAAGTTCTCTTGATGCATTTTTTGTAACTTTTCTATATCTTGTATAATTGTCTTCATTCAGTAATGGCATTTCTGAAGATTTATCTGTCTATATGTATGTATGTATGTATCACTAGCCTTTGGCAATACTGACAGTTTTCAACGTCATATAATGTATTTAACCTTTTAACTACGGCTGGATCGTATTTTTCCCACTGTTCCCATTCCCTCACAATGCGACTGGGATCAATCAATCAAAGTCTTCATCGGTGTTTCGGTCGCGATCTCTGAGGGGGTCAAGTACATTTTTGACCTCTTCCCCTCCTGTAGAGTTGTTTATTTTCATTTCAGTAAATGTTAATATTGTATTTATACGAGGGTCAGAGGTTGCATTGGGATACTTCATCCGATCCTTTTCATAAGACAATGGCCATGTATAATACACTGTTAACATTTGTACGTGACTAACACTTCACTAACGCTAGGTTCGTCCTGTACACTCACTAACAGGTCCATAGTTACTCGCGCACTTTTCATTAGTTTAATTTACTAGGAGTGTATTTACATATATACCCTTTAATATTTTATTCTAATCATTCATTAAGTACTAGCTGTAGGTTGCTTATTTATTATAGTTAACGTCACTATTTAATGGTGAGAGGTATTTAGGTACTATTCCATCATGTATGACGTACCTCATAATTTCTGTGAGTAGATTGTTCTTATACAGATTTTTATGGAAATACAGTGCTTCGTTTGTTTGTTTTTGAATTTCGCGCAAAGCTACACGAGGACTATCTGCGCCTGCCGTCCCTAATTTAGCAGTGTAAGACTAGAGGGAAGGCAGCTATTCATCACCACCCACCGCCAACTCTTGGGCTACTCTTTTACCAACGAATAGTGGGATTGACCGTCACTTTATAACGCCCCCACGGCTGAAAGGGCGAGCATGTTTGGTGTGACGGGGATTTGAACCCGCGACCCTCAGTTTGCGAGTCGAGTGCCTTAGCCACCTGGCCATGCCGGGCCTACAGTGCTTCATTGTCATACGCTGGAGTCTGTCAGATATGTAGTGCATGTTTGAATATTTATGTAGCAACTTTGCTGTTGTGTTTCTTGGTACGCTGTAGTGACTATTTTGTTTTGTGTGGTTTGTTTTGTGATATATTGTACCAGGTTGGGCATGCGTATTCCAGTACTGGTCTGACATATGTTGTGTAGATTTTTAAAATGTGTTTTGCTGGTGTACCTTGGTTTTTCCTCACAAACTCTTAACATAGTTTGCACATTTCCATGCTATGTTTGTTACATCATTTATATGTTTCTTTCAATTTAGTTTCGAGTCATATGTGGTTCCTAAGAATTTTGCTGACGTGTCATTCTTTAGGCATGTTCCTTGTAAATATAGTATTGGTGGGTGTTTTGACATTTTGGTTGATTTTGCGAAGAGAAGTAGTTGTGTTTTTGGTACGTTTATTTTAATTCTGTATTTCTGACAGTATTCATGTATTCTGTTAAGTTGATGTTGTAAGTTACTTGCTCCTATTGCTGGTGTTGGAGTGACTTTCCAGATTGCCACGTCGTCTGCGAATTGTGAAGCGCGTTCGGGTCGTTTAAGGGCATGTTGCTGACATACATGATGAAAAGTATAGGGCTAACCACCCTGTGGAACTCCTGCCTCTGGAGTAAAATACTACATTAGCTTCAGCGTCTTCCGTATCGGGATTTAGGTCTTTAAAGACATGGGAGGGTCAGGTTCACGTGACCTCTTCCTCCCTCGTTTAATGTGGTTTAAGGTTGCTGATGAACGTGGATATTGATACAACACGAGGGTCAGTGTAAACCTCACTTTCTCCGACCCCTTTCAGGGCAATGTTCATGTAGGTATGGACATTAATATTCTTGTGTTGTGTATACCGTCACTAATGTTCGGTATTACAAAGTTCTGCACTTAGCGAACAGTTCAGCATATAGAATCTACACATTTCACTGGTTTTGAAACTAATTCAAGAACGTTTTATATCTAATACCCTTTTAAATATTTTCATCTTAGATCAAAACTAGTGTGAGTTTTACGGTCTAGTATAAAGTGGCCTTATTAAATCCTTATTTCTAAAATATATGTTAACAGGCGAGAGGTACTTAGGTCTACTTCCATCATGTATGTAATAGCGATCAGGTTCACAAAGCAAGTCGTTCTTTTACCAATTTTTCTCAAAATAATTTAGAGAATTAAGCAAGAGTCTGTCGGTGGTGATTTGCGTACTTGTGCATAAAGTTTGATGAGGTGCTACATTACAAATGTTTCCCATTGTCATTCAAAATTGCCGCGCGTGACGTATGGGAGTAAAATGAGCTGAAAAGTATTTACTTACATCCCACCCAATGTTGATATATGGTTTCACTCAATGTTTTCCACTCAGCCCTTCAGTATCCAACAAGATGCCTAAGCGGAATGACGACAACTGCGTGCCGACCGTGCCCGCGTTGCTATAGCAGCAAGTAGTAACCCGAATTAGTATGTAAATACGCTTTACTTGATGTACTTGACTCAGATATCTTGGAAGGTAGTGAAAGTGAGTCAAGTGGTGTTCAAATGCGGGATGATGAAGAGGCCATGAGACAAGAGGATGCTACTTCTCCATCTAGTGATGATGAACCTGGACTCAGCAGAGGAAGGCGTAAACAACGTTGACAATGGGAAACATTTGTCCCATTCGCAGTGTGAGGGTGGTAGGAGCACTGAGAAATATACGTCCCAGCCGAAGTGAAAGGGTTAAAACCTTGATATATAAAAGTTTTTCGTCAAATGACACATAATTTCAGCCTCATTGATTATCTTATTGAATGCATTTTTTATTCATTCTGAGCAGAATCCTACAATTCTCGATCGTTGTAGAAACTTTTGGACTCGCTGTGCTCTTAGTTGGTTTACAGACTACAACTGGACTATAATGTTAGGATATAACTCACTAAATCTTGTCATTTCCTACAAGTCCACTAGTTTGGAAAATGTAGCACTTCAGTAACACATTCCACCTTGTTCGCCTGTTGATCTCTAGCTGTAAAAAAATGAAGCTCGTAAGTGAAGTTGAAACTTAGAGTTACATATCTTTAATATTATATTCTTTTCTCAAGCAATGTAAACTGAGACCAAGATTGATTCGAACGAGTGTCCGCGTATATCTTCGAAAACCATCTTAGCGGGAGTTTGCTCTTCTTGGACAATAATGTCCTATAATGCAGGTTTGTAATGTAACCCTGTAGTGGAGAACCGAAAGGGGCGAATTGAAGCTTTGTTAGT